CTCTCTCTTTTCTGCGTTATTACAGGCTGTACCATCGGAAACATCGCGTTGTTCACCACGGAACAACAACACCAGCATTATCATCGTGAGCGTATCCTCGGTCACTTCATGTCTCAGACGTGTCTCCTCCGTTCCATTCCCTTTTTATCGCATCACGGTTCGGTAACCAAGCTCGAGTGACACTAAATCCACGCAAAGTGGAACTGACCTAGCTGGCAAGAGAGTAGGATCACCACGAGGTGGACCGTTTTACGACTCTCGACCACGCTCGATAGATACTGTTATTCCTCTGACATACTTCGATTCGAATACCAAATGAATTTCTGTCGGTCGAAGATCGAAGGAGAGGCGGACAGGGATAAAGATGCGTCGAATGGATGATCTAGAGAAGGATAGATCGGTATTTGGTAGTGGGATCGGTCAAGGTCGAATGATCGGGTTCATCGTCCGAATTCTTTCTTTTATTTTTCTGGGGAAATTATCGGACAGGTTTCTTTCCAGTTTCGTAATATTTGCTGGATATACACACGTCTCTCTTATACGGCGTCATTCGATTTTATCGGACGATTATATCCAGAACGAGATGGTTCTACCGGAACCTGTGACGTGCTAAGAATTATTATAACGCGTTAAGAAATTGTATAATGATTATATTATGCAGATTCTGATTCCTTCGTGCAATGTACGAGATATGGGGAAGAAGTGAGATGTGCTTTATTTCCTGATATCGACAACATTATAGCTGTTTTCTTTCTTTTTCTCTTTCTTTCTTTTACTACACTAGATACTACTTAGGCCATTTTAGACGTTATCTATTATTGGTTAAAAACTTCAAAATGATTATACGTGGGATTTAGGTTTCTTAATTATCTATAAATCGTGTTAGATTTTCAATAAATCGCGAATTTTTAAGAATATAAATCGAAAGAAAGATATCAATAACGATGGAACGGGATTTTAACGCTAAGTAATATCCAGATATCGATATAAGGTTTTGAATTTTAATTCAGATTCACGGATGTGCCAATATTGAAAAGACTCGTGTAAAATGGAATAACAGTGGCATAATTTCCTCTGTGCTTTGCTTGGGTACGTGGGGTCGCAACTCCCCAAAGGACTCTCGAAAGACGACACTTAAAGTCGCTCGGTCCCCCCTGCGGGATTTTTTTTTTGTAATGGTGCAATCAATAATTGCAATGTTCTCTTAAATGTAAATGTCGAAAAGAAAGAAGAAAGTTTCGACTGTGTGCTGATTTATAATAATTGATATACAATAATTTTCTAGCCAACAATTTTATATTGTAAATATTTAAATTGTATTGCAATACTATATATTTTATTATAACAGTACCGTTATAAATATATGTATATGAACCACGTTGGAAACCGCTTTTAGCAACTGATAATATTAGCGAGTTGATATGCTATAAATTTCGTCGTCAGATAGCGAAACTTGATATATCTAATAATTTTAATTTAACGATGCATTAATTTAGAAATTTGTGAAGATATACAAAATTGATATGTTTTCAAACAGAGTTTTATGTTTTTTTGTTTCTTAATTGATTTCTAATTTAAATTTCCGTTTCCGCAAAAATTTTATTTAAATGAAGAATATTTTCATTTTTCCAAAGAAATAAGAAATACTTGTGTTTTTCCGTTTTAATTTTTCCACATTCAACTTGTTACGCGCAATTTGGAATCAAGATTAGAATCTAGAATGCAGGAAACACTGCACTGTTAACGAGTTAAAAAGTTATCTACTCTACAATTGATGAAAATTTATCTGATTTCTTTAGAAAATTTCTTAAAAATTCTTCGCTACCGTTTTAATTGCTCGTTTTAAAATATAATCTTCGAAATGTTCGTAAATAGATAAGCAAGGAATTTAACACTCTGTGAAATTTTACGAAGAAGAATAACATGCTGTTACGTATTATGAAATAATCCTCGTCGTGTATACGAATTACTAACATAATACAATAACAATAGTTCAAATAAAAACCAATTGTGTCATTTGTAAACATATAAATCAGTGATTTGAATAACATATCACGAACAAAATTAATTAATTTGAATTTATCACTCTCATTCTTTATCATTCTTTATTCCAACGCATTCCTTTAACGTGTTCTTATTATAGGGAAGGCTTTATTTATTAATTATAATTATCTATATGTTCGTTCAACCGTAAAAAGAGGAACGATATATTTTATAATATGAATTTCCAACCTGTGGATTACTTTCGAGAATCGAAACGCAGTTATACTTGCTTATAATTATTAATATGAAAGATTGTACGATGAAAATTTTCGCGTCAAATTTAGATTCTAACATTCGATGGACTGGAAAAATAATATCCCGTTATAAGATTAATAATTAAAATTCTTTTCACCAGATTTTAATTTATCTATATAAATAAATTTGAAATGTATTTTTTGAAAAAGGGTTGTGGTTAAAACTTATAAAGTGACGATATCGAAGGATAGGTATTTGCCAATTTTCCATACGAATCTACGCTTTACACGAATGAATAGCCTCGAGAACAGAAATATTGGCATTGATCGTTGCGCAGGTATGCGGTCACGATCTTGATCTTCGAACACACACAGTTCTCCATTCACGTACGAGGTTAGTCAAGGATTCTGCCAAGATTAGTCACAGAGTGAATTTATAATACAAACCTATAAAGTTTGATCGATCGCTATTAGAATTACTAGTTATATTGATTAACCAAAGAATTATAA